CGATTACCTGAAGAGGAAGACAACAATAAATATCGATCGATCTCCCCTCGAAATTCGAAGGGGAAAATTGGAGGGAAACGTCGTTCAAGAAAAAAGGGAGACGTTCTCGGATCGAAAACGAATTCGAAAAACGAAGAAGTTTCCGCGAGATAAGAAGGAATGATTCTTCACCTGTAGCTAAAAAACGACTCTGAAAGGAGCGCGAGGTGGGGCTGGCGGTGTCTTTGGGAGTCGGGGGTGTGCCGCTATGCGGCGACGAGACGGTGGATGCTGCGCTCGACGCCGGTGCCCTCGACAAGTATTTCTGCTTCATTTCCTCGGCGGTGAACGGCGCACCCGTGCTGCGGATTCCGGACCCAGCCGAGCTCTCCGACCCCGTGCTCGAGTCTGATGAAGCGCTTCTCGTTGCGGGGGCGTGGGTATCCGTCGATGTTCTCCTGCGAGCAACCATATCTCAATTAACGACTTCCCTCCCGAGTCGGTAAACTCGATCCAGCGGCGTATCTATTCGTAAACCGTAATTTCTACCGATGATATTATTGCTTTACATCGAGACCCCCTTTCCTTCCCACGCGCAATAAGGAATTATGCAGCCACGATTCACCCATTTTCCTCCATCAATATTATCGCACGTGAATTTCCAACGGAGAGAGGAAGAGAGAGAAAGAGAGAGAGATGGAATTCGCAACGCGCGTTCGAATTGAAATCGTATTAACGTATGTACACGTTGACTCTGTTCGTTAATTTGCAGGCGAAATTTACGAATTTCCAGACGTAATTTTAAATTGACGGCCGCGATACAATTGGAATGGAATGGAATTTCGGAATTAAAAAACTTTTGTTGCGTGCATTTAAAGTTTTACCGAAACACTCGACGTTACAATTTTTACGACAATTCACGGATGAAATATTTGACGTTGCTAAAAAAAGAGAATGAAAGAAAGAAAAAAAAAAGAAGGAGAAAACGATCGAAATAACAAACTTTCACGAATTAAAGAAAAGAAAAGAAAAATATTGCACAACTAAACTCGCAATAACGATAAGTGTTTTAAAATTAAAAATCATTCGATGTATGCGATATGATGTATGAATGAATAATGATGCTTGTTCGAATGAAATTTCGCTATATTTCGCTAATGCTATCGATCCAACAATTATCGTGCAATATTATATTACACGCGAGGTAGAAACAATTTCTAGAACCGGGTATATTCGATCGAGTTGCTACACCGAATAGACATAAATCAGCTTGTCCGACTAGATATGCGTCACTACTACTGAAACGTGAACCTATCTAACCACGAGCCAAGATCCTCTTGTGACTTAATGTTAACTCGGTGTTGCGGTGAATTCGATCGCGTTGTATATTTTGCCATCAGTCACGGACGCCTAAATTGTCACGCCGGTGCTTACCCCATTAATAAAGGGAGATCGAAGAAGAACGTTTGAACGTGGAATGGAAATTCGACTCGATTCGAAGATACGAGAGGAAATTTAAGAGCGTACGGTGATTTTTGGAACCAACTTACCTGGCAGGCATCGGTCTTCGTGCAGGTTCTTCGGGCTCTCGTTCGGGGGGTGCTTCCCTCGGGGGTGGGTGTGCGGGCGTAGACGTCGGTACCGGTTGTCGTTCTTCCACTGTTTCGGTCGTGGCCGCCGTTTTATTCTGCTTTTTAATTCTAGAAATCTCGTCGTCCTCGCTGGTTTGCCTCGCCATTGCTGTCGGCATTTTTCTCACTTGCACCTAGGCGATAAAAAGATATATTTAACGAGTCCGTCGAAACAAAAATTCATCCTCATTCTGGTTAATCCTTTTTTTCCTCACTTTTTCATTTCTTCTTATTCTCTTCTTTTTCTCTTTTTATTTCTTTTCTTTTTTTTTCTTTCTTTTTCTCTTTTTTTGATACGAAACGTGTTAGAGAATGAATTATACGCTGGTTATTATTAGGTTGCTTGTAAACAAGTCGAGATTTTTTTTTTTCTATTCTGACCGTGCGTTTTTTTTTTTTTTTTTTTTTTCTTTTTGCTACACATGGCGCGAGATGCATTAAAATGCTAGTCTGATTTTACGCTCGTAAATAAAAAGCGCGGTACAGAACGAATAGACGTATGGTTACAGGACAAAGAGAGGATTTGTCGCAAGTGAACACGAGAGATTAATTTTTTGTTTTCTTGACGAGCAAAATATATTCGTGTATTCATACGTTTCATTCGTGTTATAATAGAATTTCGTACAAAAATATTTATAGTATATATATATATATATACATATATACATATGTACAACAGCTAAACTACAAAGTAGATTTATTCATTCGTGCCTCGAATTATTTACATATTTATGAATCGAGAGATCAAGTATACATTTCATATTGCGGCACACGTATATCTGTTTTTTTCCGTGTGAAATATTGAATTACTTTAAAAATTCGTCGAGATTTATTTCCTTTTCATGTCCATAAAGGGAACGATACGTTTTTTTTCTTTTTTTCGTGCGACTCGTACGCATGTACGCATTGAATTATCGAAAATTTACTCCCGCGTGAATCGCATCCAAGCGACATAACGCGAGATTTCGAGGCTACTTTCGTCGAGCTTGCCCATCGAACTGCCCCTCACGATCCATTCCTGTATATCGCTTGCCATAATAAGGGAATCCGTGTGAAAATTCTGTGGTGCGGAATCACTGTCAAAAACAAATACGTCCGTGTGAAATGAAGCGAATCCAGAATCCAGAATCTACGATTCAATTTATAAATGGAATTCGATGAATTTCGAGAAAAAGGAGCGCGAACGCGACGAACAGAGAATCTCTAAATAATCTCTAAATCCGAATAATTATATAAACTTTGATGGCAATTGATACATCTTTTAATATCTTGGCGTACGATTTCTTTTGATTTCTTTTCGACGGAAAAAAAACCGTATGTAAAAAATGTATAGAATAAAGTTTGAAAGAATGGAATGTGAAGTTGACCGAGAAATGAATCGATGAACCGTCATCGTTCAAACTGTACAAACTGAATGGAATAGAAGCTTCGATTGAATAGAGGCTTGGATTTTTCAAATTAAATTCGCGTGCGATATAACGGAGAAACAATGCACGTGTATACTTTTTTCTTTTTTCTTTTTCTTTTCTCTTATTCGAAATCAGAATAGAATAGAGAATAATGAATGTTTCATCGAAAAAAAAAAAAAAAAAAATAGTTCTCGTTGAAGATCCATCCGCGTCCGTTCGCGATCATGTATCGAGTATAACGAAGGGTGAAATTGTCTTATCGTTCAATTAACCTGAGGCTTAGGCGGTTGAGGTTGTTGAACAGGATGGGGCGGTGGTTCCTCCTTCTTCCTTTTCCCGGCCCTCTCGTATTCTTGAAGCTTTCTCATCACACGGGGGGAGTCGGTGAGTCGAAAAATACCGGAAAGCGGGCCACGTGCCGCGTCCTCCGTGTCCAGAACACGTTCGCGAAGTCCCGACGATTCCTGGGGGGTAGATGTGAATCGTACGGTAGACCTCGAATCGCCATCGGAGTCGTCGCCATCCCGATGCCGCATGAATCGACTTCTGTACCTCGATTTGTTCCTCGGTACCTCGTATTCCGGCGCGTCGTACCTGTCGCATATACCACGATAATAATTTTTATTGTGCTTCATCGTGTTTTTCTTCCTTTTCTTTTCTTTTTTTTTTTTTTTTTTTTTAAATTTTAGAAATATCAGGCGCGAAAGATTTTTCAACGCAAACGTGTGCACGGACGAAAAAATTTTTATTCGCTAGAATTAATTTGGCGAGCGTGGTGGACGAGGGAGGGTGAAAGAGGATGGAGATGATCCAATATCGTTCTCCTCTCTCGATAACGATTTCTCTGGAACGTCCATTTCAATCGAACCGATGTAATCTGACAATTTAAACGCGCTGTTTCGCGATCAGCGCGATCAGGCGTCCTCCCTCGACGATCTCGAGTGACACGTGTCACCGATATATTTTACAGATGTAACGGATAGCCAAGCTTTTTTTTTCTTTTTTTTTTTTTTTTTAAGCGATATTACAACGATCCAGTTGTAGAAGGGAGGAGAAAAGAGGAGGAGAAGAGACGTACCCGTAGTTAATGCCCGATGAATTTTTAATGGCCCCCTTTAACAACCATCACAATATAATCTTTCGAAACGACAGCTATTTTTATCTTTTAACGATTAATCTCTGTTTGAATGAAATTTTTGGCACGAGTGAGGAGAACCATTCCTTTCGCACGATTTTCTGGAACTGGGTTATCTGATTTTCGAGGGAATGCACGGCAAGAGATTGATCCAAGAGTTTATCCAAGTTTATCGCTTAATTATCGTTTCGCATGACACGGGTTTGCATAACGAGAGAGAACGAAGAAGAAGAAGAAGAAGAACGATCTTCTTCTACGGTGACGATAAGATTGATCTCGTTCGTGCTAGTCGGAAGAATATCAATTTTATCGAATTTGAAATTTCTATTCGAAGCAATTTTTTTCTATATTTTTTTCACTTCTATCTAAGAATCTCCCTCGTTTCAGTAAAAGGATCAATTCAATGGAAATGAACGTTTGACGCAATTTTCTTCCCCGGAAAGCGGAAACGGCAATAAAAATAAAATAATTTCCAACGATTCGAACTTCTATTCTATTCTATATAACGCCGACTATTCGTATTCCCAACTATTAATATCCAAATTTCTACGACGAATGAATCGGTAAATTTAGATTTTCGATGCTTTTACTCCATAAATCAGCTTCGAACGTAAGTAAAATTCACTCGTTCCCCAAGTTAGTTTGGGAAACAAACAAAAGCGCGAATACTCGGTGCCGCAAATTCTGAACGATGCACGAACGTGGCACCGACGAATTTGCACGCCACCGTTTCGAGTAATTACCCCCGATTATCAGTCAGAAGAACTATCGTATTAGCGACAATCGTCATGCGACGAAAGAAACGAATCCTTTAAATAATTCACCCTCCTTCTTCTTCCCCTCGATTCCCGATAATTATCGTTAATATCGTGTCGTGAAATGTTTTCTTCTCTTTTCTTTCTTTTTTTTTTTTTTTTTTTTTTCATTTACATTTCGACTTAATAAAACGATCCGCGCGCGTATTACACGAAACGAAACGGTAATTAAACTCGACCATGCCTATTTCGGCCTCGAGGAAGTTGTTCCCGGCCCACGCCAGGAAAAAGATACAGCCAGTGGAGGCTCGTGTATTTATAACATTTGCTAGAATAGATATGTGGGACATCGTGAAAAATGTATGCCCACCACGGACGCCGTTTGGCAATATTCCAAAGTAATCTACGTCCACGGTCAAACACGTTTTTTTTTACCGGTCAGCTAGTTTTTTACCGACCAAATACCTCTTTTCTTCCCCCCCCCCCCTCTTTTCTTCGTTCTCTCTTCTCAGAGATACTTTCTCCCTGCGTTTCCCAGATTCGAGTCTATCTAGCTTGGTCTGGACCAAGATTTGAGACGTTTCTAAGCTGGCCTACACTTTTCTACTATTTCGAACGTGTGTCACCAGCTGTTCCATAAACAGTAAGCTCGACAACGTCTAGCACGACGTTGAAAACGGTCATAACTCTTAAGCGATACATTTTCCCTTAAGCTTGAGAAACTCTTTGGAATATATCGGAATATATACGTAAAGTAGACTTTCCATCCGTACTTTTCTTTCGTGCATCGCGGCGAAAAAAGAGTTAACGAAAAAAAAAAAAGTGGAAAAGCAATTTTTCTTCGAACTATATACATATATACATATATAACGTTTCTATTTGGAAAAATCGAGCTCCATTACGCAAAGAAGTCGGAAACAAGGAGAGGGATCTGTTCTAGAGTCCAGAATAATGGAGCGGATGGACAAAGTGGAATTTTTCTCTCTTTGTTGTTGGAGAGAGGATGGATAAATAAACAAGGAAGAGAAAACTAGTAGAAGGGATAATTACTCGTATTCGGGGACGTATCGATTTCTCGACAGCCGCTCCTCCTCTTGCTGCCTGTATTGCGAGGCCAAACGATGGTCGCTTTTGCTTCTCATCAGACCCGGTGATCCCCCCGGAGGTGCCAGACTGCTCGAACTACCCAGCAATCCTCCACTTCCGGCCTCCGGCTTGATATTCAATTCACCGTAACCGGCTACGTGTAGGACCAGCTGATTCGGATCGTGTGCCATCACGAAACGCACCCGCCGACTGTAATCCCCGGCTTCGTACTCGAAGTTCCTGCCAACCAACCAACATGCAAATTAGCTTTAAACCAAGTAAATTATCATATCTTTTGTGTCTTATTGGCCGGATTGTGACGCTACACGGCATTGCTATCATGCATCATTCCAAAGAATTTGGAGAAACTTTCTCTCTCCCCTGAATTGGATTTCTCCCTCCCCTTCCCTCCCCTCGTCGAAGAAAAGAAAACTATTCTTATTAAAAATGAAATCTCGCGAATCTTTCGACTATATGTATGTAAAGAAGAGAGGAGATTTCTTTTTTTTTTTTATATTTCATTAAAAATGTAAATCCTCTTTCTTCCTTAAAAAGGATCAGCAAGTTTTGCAATCTTAATGACACTTCACCTCTGCTCGGATATAACCTTTGAATTTTGTATGGAAAAGTTGATCCATCCTCTTTTTTTCGTTCTTCCTTGTACTTTTTTTTCTTTCTTTCTTTTTTTTTTTTTTTTTTTCGTACGCCGCCGATTTGTCACGTTATCGAGAGGAGGGAAGCTGTTAAATATTTCGCGGAGAAGCTTTTCCTTGCTCCAGCGGGTTATTCGCTGGTTTCCTTCCACGAGAATAATAAGGTTGAAATAGGGGGGATCGTTTAAAACCGAGAGGTTTTAGTAATGGTGGCGTGTCGCGGGCAAAGTTGAAATGTAAGCAGAGTTTCGAGAAAGAAGTTAAGGAAAGAAAGATTCCATTTACGTTGTGCGGCTTGATGGAAGATCGAGCGTAAAAGTCCGAAATTGTTGTGCGTCTTGCGAATCTATGTCCATCTTTTCCGATGGAAAAGTTGAAATATCGGAGAAACAATTTGGAAAAAAAGGAGAAAAAGAAACGACGGTGTATCCCTTATAAAATTGTTTTTATTTATTTTTCGACTTATATTTTCCGACCACTATTATCTTCGATCTCGCTCGAAGAATTAAAACTCTTCGATTCTTTAAAGGAAACGAATCGAGCGAAGGAATTTTAGCTTCGTCGAATCACACGCGCAACCTTGTACGAGATTTCACCAAGTTTTAATATTTAATCTATAAATTGGCCTGTTAAAAAACGGAAAGATCGTTTTCAAAGGATCGTTCGAATCGTTGAACGATTACTTTTAATGTAAAGTTTTTAAAGCCCGTTCGCCCGTACTTTCCACGCTGATATTTCACTTCATATTTCTATACCCGAGCTTCTTTTGCCCGTTAAATCCATCCAGGGACTAATAAATACACTTTTACTACTCTCAGCTGGAATTTTCAAATTCATCGCGTGGAGATTGTACAAGATTGTTGAATGAAGAAAAATTAAAAAAAAGAAAAGGGGAAGGCGAAGATAGGACGAAGAGTGATGATTTGTCGCCCTTAATGCGAATTACGTTTCAATTTTCCGTGATTACACTTTTATTTTTATGAAAGAAAACTATGAGATTTGCAAATTTATGGGGAGAGGGAGAGCACGGGCGAGACAACGTCTCGAACATTTTGATTATCCAGAAAACTTATTGGCGTGAAATTCTTAATTGAATGTTGAGAGAGCGAGATACGGATGGTTTATTTTCTCTCTCTCTCTCTCTCTCGCGGAGGAGGAGAAACGAGAAAGCCGTAATTTTCGAGATTCCGATCTGTTTTGACATTAAATTCTATGCTCGACGAAGCACGAGAAACGAGATACTTGGAGATCTTTTACTTTTTTGGAAATTGATTTTCCATGTATCAAATTTAAGTATAGTTTATATCGTAAAGGAAATCGTTATCTCTGTCTACAAATCTACAAATTTTCAAGTATTTTCCCTCGAAGATTCGAATATTTTTTAAAAAACGAAGAAGAAGAAGAAGAAGATATTCGATTGTACCCGATTAAATTATCCAGAAAATATGAAAATTGAGAGATATTTCGCGATGCAACGGAGCGATTCGAATGTAATGGGCAGGCATAAAAGAAAACGATGAGATTAGACGACAAACCTGATGAATTCCACCGTACGCAGGAAGAGTTCTTTTGTATCGAGGAGTTCCGAGTCGTCCCAGGGCACGTTCTCGTTGATGTGAGCCTCCGCCAAATCGCAGTTACTTTGAATATTCGCGATTTCCAATTCGAGATTCTCTTTGAGTTGAATCAAGCCTCTGAGCTCGGTGCTCAGGTATCGATCGACCTCGTTACGCAGATGTTCCGTACGGTCTTTCAAAGCCTTGCTCAGCCTCCGATAAATCTCGTCCACCTCTTCCGTGACCGAGGCGCAGTTTGTTTGTAGACCCAATGTGTTTTTCTCCACCAGGGTGAGCGCGTCTTGCAACCTGTGCAGCCCCCTGCGAATCTGCAAAAATAACATTTGTTTTTAATCCAACGTATATATTTAATGTTCCTCCGCATTTCCCTCCCTCCTATTCTGAAAATCATACATTTCGCTGGATTTTCGGATTTAAAAAGCGTTATATCGCGTCTCTTTGGATAAAATAATAATCCTGTCGTCCAATTCGTTTCGGATTATAATAAATATTTGAAAATATTTAGAAAGGTAAAAAAGATAAAGATCTTTTAGAATGGAATTATAATTTTGATTTTTAATTAATCGATAAACGAAGAATGGTGAAAAAAAATTCCTTTCGGATTATAATAAATGTTTGAAAATATTTTGGAAGGTAAAAAAGATAAAGATCTTTTAGACTGGAATTATAATTTTGATTTTTAATTAATCGATAAACGAAGAATGGTGAAAAAAAATTCCTTTCGGATTATAATAAATGTTTGAAAATATTTTGGAAGGTAAAAAAGATAAAGATCTTTTAGACTGGAATTATAATTTTGATTTTTAATTAATCGATAAACGAAGAATGGTGAAAAAAAATTCCTTTCGGATTATAATAAATGTTTGAAAATATTTTGGAAGGTAAAAAAGATAAAGATCTTTTAGACTGGAATTATAATTTTGATTTTTAATTAATCGATAAACGAAGAATGGTGAAAAAAAATTCCTTTCGGATTATAATAAATGTTTGAAAATATTTTGGAAGGTAAAAAAGATAAAGATCTTTTAGACTGGAATTATAATTTTGATTTTTAATTAATCGATAAATGAAGAATGGTAAAAAAAAATTCCTTTCGGATTGTAATAAATATGTAAAAATATTTGAGGAAGTAAAAAAGATAAAGATCTTTTAGAATGGGATTTTATATAATTTTAATTTTTAACTAATCGATAAACGAAGAATGATAAAAATGATAAAAAAAAAAATTCCTTTCGGATTATAATAAATATTTGAAAATATTTGGAGAGATAAAAAAGATAAAAATCTTATTTCGGAATGGGATTTTATATAATTTTGATTTTTAATTAATCAATAAAGAAAGAATGGTAAAAAAAATTCTTTTCAGATTATAATAAATATTTGAAAATATTTGGGGAGATAAAAAAGATAAAAATCTTATTTCGGAATGGAATTTTATATAATTTTGATTTTTAATTAATCGATAAACGAAGAATGGTAAAAAAAAAAATTCGTTTCGAATTGTAATAAATATTTGAAAATATTTGGGAAGATGAAAAAGATAAAAATTTTTTAGAATGGAATTATAATTTTGATATTTTTTTAATTAATCGATAAACGAAGAATGATAAAAAAAAATTCGTTTTGGTTTATAATAAATGTTTGAAAATATTTCGGAAAGTAAAAAAGATAAAAATCTTTTGGAATAGGATTTTATATAATTTTGATTTTTAATTAATCGATAAACGAAAAATGGTAAAAAAAAAATTTCTTTCGGATTATAATAAATATTTGAAAATATTTGGGGAGATAAAAAAGATAAAAATTTTTTAGAATGGAATTATAATTTTGATATTTTTTAATTAAACGATAAACGAAGAATGGTAAAAAAAAAAAAAAAAAAAAAAAAAAAGAAACGAATTTTAATTAAGAGAAAACATTGCCGCGATAAAAATCACGCTTCTCTCGTATTCGAACACGATTACGATAACGCGTGTGTTTCGTGTCGCGTCGCGTTCCCATTTAAACTAGGAATTCGTATCGCGAAAGGAAGCCGTTTGTTTTGGAAACATTAGGAGAGGGCAAATATACCGATCGGATATTTTCGGATTGCGCATACATAGCGCGTTAGTTATACGTAGTATACGCGGTTATGTTGACCTGAATTCGTCAGTGTTCATTCGAAACGAGTTGATACGCAGTTCGCTTTCCATATTTCCGTGACTATTTTAAAAATTTCAAGATCGATCAGCGTAATTTACGCCGAATAGCATCGTTCGAAGCGTTGCAGAAGCAGAAATCGAGAAATACTTTGGAAGTTTTTCATCGTTGATCGTGTTGCCAAGGTAGGGGCTCGAGAAAAACGTTTCTGGTTTCGCGATTGTTCGCTCATTTGTCAAAAAATTCCCATAACCTAAATCGTTCACCGTGAATTCGTAAACATGTAACCATACTTTTTTTTTTTTTATAAATTATTAATTTAAAATTCTGCAAGAAGAAATGACCCTCCAACCACAACAATTTCGATATTTTCGTCGTAACTATTAACCATTCTTCATCACCATGTTTTCCGAATCTTGAAGTTTTTTATTAAAAATGGAGTGAGAATTTATTCGAATCCCCTCTCGTGTATCCATTTTTTTGTGTGAATAATAACCGTAACGTCTCCTTTTTTCTTTTTTTTTTTCAGAAATTTCCCACCGAATTTCGTTGAAGATTTCCTTAAACTGCATAATAAATATCGAGCTATTCACAATTCCCCTCCGTTAAAAATCGACGACGAGGTATACACGGGTTTCCTCTTATTTCCTCGAGAAATATTCGTCTCGCAACGCGGCCAGCTTTAAACGGGCTTGGTTTCGTTGAAATGAAATATTGAACACCGTCCGTTTTCCCCGCGAAACCGTCATTGTAGATTTTTATTATAAATCCGCGACGAGATTCCTATTCGTAGCGGATAAATTTCAACGAGGTTGAAATGTAAACCGGTCGGAATGGAACTCGAGGCGAATATTCCATAATCGTTAACGACTGGAATATTCTTTTCAAGTTGAACGAGTTGGCACAAGAATGGGCGGAGAGACTAGCGAGGAAGGGTATTCTTCAGTACAAATCGGACCCGAAATACGGCGAAAACATATACATATCCCCGTGGAGGAATTTGCCTTACGATATCAAACCGAAGGATCCATTGGAATCTTGGTTGGTTAAATTTATGTATCTCGAACAAGAATTATTTCTTTCTTTTTTTCTTTTTTTTTTAAATTTAATTTATGGTTAAATCGAAATGGTAACAATTTAATCTAGGTATCGAGAGGGTGATTATTACAAATACGGAGATGACGATGCAAAAGGTTTGAACGGTGTGTGCAACTTTACTCAACTAGTATGGAAGAACACGCAATTGATAGGACTTGGGATATCCATCGCTATCAACGGGGCATTTTACTTCGTTTGCTTTTATTATCCCTGTGGCAACATCGTAGGCCAATTCAAGGAAAACGTATTACCACCGATCAAGGTATATTTTTTACCGTTTCAACGTATATTTTCAATTTCACCCAGATATCATATTTTATTTTTTTTTTTTTTTAAATTTAATTCGACTCACGATTTTTTTTTCTCTTTCTTTCTTTTTATTTTTTTTTTCTCGAAACGTTCGATCGCGAAGATTTTCGATCGAAATTAGGAAAAAAATATAGAAGAAAAAGAATCGCAAATCGATGAAATCACGGTGTTCGCGATACGCGATGTAGGGGAGGGAACGAAAGTGACACGTAGGAAAAACGTAGGAGAGGAATTTTTTAGCCAGGCAGGGCAAATCGAATCGTGAATCGTCTCCAAGAACTTTTCGATTGGAGGATCTCGAATTTCAGGCACGAATGCTCTTTCCTTCTTTTTTTCCCCCCTTCCAAAGAGCAATATCCACGAGCTGTCGATATCCGATCGTAAACTCTCCTCTGTCTCAAAGACGATCGAGGCAACCGAGTTTATTCGCTGCAGATAGACGCGAATCATTCTCGGGGCTTAACGTTTTTTTGGAGACAGTTTGGGGATTCCCATCGGCCCGATCCCTCCAATTTCGACCCCTCCCTTCTTCTTCCTTCGAATTCTTAATAGAGAGCAACTCGATCCACGAGTCTACTCTGCTCGAATCTGTTTTTAATCCCCATCGACGATGATCGTGGAGATTATTACACCTCGGTTCGGATTGCCGTTTAATCCTCGAGAGGGTTTTTAATCGGCGGGAGAGTCGAGAAATTAGAAGAAACGAACGAAAGGCGAGGAATAGTCCAACCGTGAAATCCGCGTTTTCCTCTTGGTAAGTCGATATTTCCACGTCCACTTTCCCCCTCCTTTTCGTTTTACACCTAAGAGATAAGAATTCGTTTCCGAATACATCGAAAATAGATTTTCATCGATGGAAACGAATCGTTTTTAATCTCGAGCCGTTTTTTCCCTTTCGAGATTTTCTTGATTTCGAGAGAAAGAAATGGCGAAATCAGGATCAGGTCCTCGCTTACCTGGGAATTGATGCGCGTTATTTCACGCCTCAGGATGTCCATGTGAGCGTCCTTGCACTCGGGGCAACATTTTTTCTCGCAGTGGACGCAGAGGCTGCAGTAGCTTTTCTCGGAGCAAACGCCGCAACGTTCCATCGTTTGGCCGCTGGTCGGGTCCGGCAACTCTCCTGTGATCTCGATGTGCAGCTCCAGGAATCGTTGCAGGGTAACGTTGGTCGGGAACGCTTGAACACCCTACGCGATATTAACACACGAGAACGAGTTAACAAGGCAACTCCTCCCCCTCTCTTTTAATCGAATAATCATGATTCTCCTTCGGAAAGAACGAAAGAAATTCCAAACGGTAGGGACGGGTAACTTTGATCTCGGGACGCGTACACGGTTTTTACCTGAAATTGAATTTCATAGAAGGAGAAAGAGAGAAAAAGAGAGAGAGAGAGAGAAAGGGGTCGATTCCAATTGCATTCCTCCGTTTCAACCCTCTTCCTTCCTTCTTTCCTTCCTTCCTTCCTTTCCCCCCTTCTCTCCTTCCCTTCTCCCCCAACCTTTATCCAACGTTTCTCGTTCGCGTCGCCGCTTTTAATTAAGGACAACCGAGTTACGTTTGATGTCGAATCGTCGGCCCACGCTTTTTTTTACACCGATACACGAGGATAGGAAGACAAATGGTTTGCGTCGAGAGGCGTTGCTGGAGAAACTTTTTTTGCGAAATTTTTATCCAATTTAACGAGGGATCGCGTGCAGATCGTTGAATAAAGACGAGGCCACGCGAATTGGATTGGAAATCTTTTCGTTTATATTTAATTTTATACATTTTTTATTATTCCAGAGATCATCGCTGATTTTTTTTCCTTTCGTGAATTTGAATACGTCTTTTTTCTTTGTTTCCTTTTTTTTTCTTTTTTCCCGATTCTGCGACGAAACCGCTCGACGCCGCTCGACGAATTTTTTCTTTTTTTTAATACAATGAAGAAATTGGAAAAAAGGGAAGATCCGGATTGAATATCTCACCTGGTAGGGTATACGATGCTCCGCACGGCATTCCGGGCATTTCACCTGTCGACGCACGTAGTCAACGAGGCCATCCATACACGGTTCCATGCAGAAGCTGTGCTGACATGGCAATAACTTGGGGTTCCTGTACCGGTCCAGGCATATCGCGCACGTTAGCAGTTGTTCGAACTGCTCCATGCCTGAGGGACATGAAAAAAAGAGAAAAGAAAAACGAGTTTTATTTCGAGTTACCTCTTCTCGTACCTCCTCTCGTTAAAAATCCTCATCTCGTTAAATGTACACGTGTAAAACGAGTACGAGTGATCCTCGTTATTATATCAAAAGGGAGTTTTAGCCACAGGTTTCCCCGCAAAAGAAAAAAATCCCTTGCGCCACTCCTCGAAATACAAAGTCTCATCCTCGTCACAGCTAATAAATAGTTCAAACGGTGTAATTCACGGCCTGTTGCAATTCGAGATCTCCATTGTGCCAAGTTGTTATTCATCGTGTCGCGCCCCAGACCGATATTACATTCACTCCGACAAATATTTCTCTTCTTCTTCTTCTTCTCCTTCTCGATTCGACGAGCATCTGGAGCTCGGCTTAACGGAAACCCACCCCCTCTCCCCTAACCAATTTCCCTTCACCTTTCCAATTCTAATCAAATTCCTCGACGTTTAGGTCTCTCGCGTTTTTTCTACCCCTCCTCTCCCCTTAATTCGTCGCGGCCAACGAGACAATGTCAAGTTCTTTCAGTGTCGTTCGCCTCTTCTATTTCGAGACACGATGGGCATGCATCATCCAAGTTGTCGCCCGAGGGAACAACTTGGGCGTCCCTGTCAACTTTTACGAATCGGCCTGAAATCGGCCTCGATCCTGCAATTGGATCCGCTTGGCACCGAATCCACCATTTCGTGTAAACCGGGGTCGTTACAAAATTGCCTCGATCGATTTATGGCCTCGAGGGATCGTGGACTCGAAAGAAGCCAAATTACCGAATCCCCTCGCCCCTCTGATCGATGGAAGATACGAATGATTTCGGAACGATTTCATTTTGCGAAAACGTAAACGAAACCTCGAGCCAAGCAAAATAACGCAGATTTTTCGATATGTATCATCCACAGTTCGTTCACAGTGACACTCGTCTGTCCATTAAACTTCGCTCAGAATATCGAATTCGAATGGATCTCTTCTTTTCATGGACGACCATCGCTCGCCCGAGAAGATAATATTCGATCTGGCTTGTCCTCCGATCATGCGAGGAAGAAGCATCCGACGAAACGCGGACGGGTTAAATTTAAAATCGTGGAAGCATCGAAGTATTATTCGAAAGCGTTCGGTTCGAAGGCGCGTAGCCGACGATCGGAGCCAAATCCCATTCCGCGTTCTTTCGCAACGTGGAAGATACTCGTGGTTAAACGTCGAAGGCCGTGCCAAGGACCGATCCAAAGCCTCTCTCTCTCTTTCGCGAAACTGCTCGCCACGAAACAGAGGCGGGCCGTACATTAGAAAGCGTTGTTACACTTAGACGAACCACTTGTTGATCTTAAAAGCGAATTGCGAGGGGGTGCAACAGGCGGGTAGCGCTGTGTCGTATTAGCAACTTTCCGGATGGAACGAGGGTGAGCAAGGAGCGGAGGGTTAATCCTGACACGCTTAGCCGCGGAAGCCTCGACTTAGCTTCGGCTTCCACGAATTTCTGTCTACTTTGACGCCAGTTGTTACCTTCGCACGTTACGACGAAACTTCTCTACCCCCTTTTCCTCGAGAAAATGATGAGATCCGGTTCGACTCGTTGTCTCACAGCGGACGTCTCCTCGATCGGTTCGAATCCGAAGCGAAATGATATTTTTGGCAATCGCGTTCGTTCGACGAAGAAGCAACGAGGCATCGTTGTGCGCGTGGCTCACGGGAAAATTCGATGAAAAATACGAGGAGTTGTGTGGGGGTGGAACAAAGAATGAGCGAGTACTTGCGCGTATATTCGAAGATATCCGTTGCCGAAATTCGTTCTGTCGTCTCCCTCTCTCGTTAGATTCGTCGAGGAGACATTCTTTCTTTTTCTTCTTTTTCTCTTTTTTGGGGAAGGAGGGGAGGAATAACGGGAGAGCAAACGAGATTTTCGACTCTGTTCGATGACTCGTCGAGAAAATGACTCGCACAGAGATGGCACGTGGCACCGCGTTATTATTTTCGCGCCAAGCGAGAATCAAATGCGGCGTCACGAGCTGATTCAGCCTTTTCCTTTGTCTACTTCGAAACCGATGCGAAATTGTGGGCGTCGTTTCAACGAGTCACGATCCAAATGCTCATTTACTTGGTATTCATATTTTGTTTGGCTCGATGCATCGAACACGTGAAACGGGATATTTCTGTTTTATTATCGCGGTGCTTGGTGCGTGTGTTTCGTTGTTTGTCAATTGGGATTTTCTCAAATTCTTTCGAAATCGAAAGTTAACTTGGTCCGATTCAAGTTTTTCTTTATTCGTCAGCTAGGGAAAAACGTTCATCGGTATATGTACGAAAATTCAATTGCTCTTTTTTCAAAACAAAATTATTCTTCCTCTGACTAGTCTATTCTCGTCGGAAGCACTTCTTTAAATAACAGAGCAATAACAGAAGCTCGGATCAACGGTATAGAGTTTACTTGGAACATACGTACCCAGAGAATTATACGGTAAACTCTCTCCTTCTTCCTACGAAGTTTCAAAGCGTCGGCATAAAATAAATCCGAGTACTCCTCTCCTCGTCGAACGATAAAAACGGAGGGATGCGGGGAGGAGGTGAGGAGGAATAAAGGAAAAAAAGAAAAGAAAAGGAAAGGAAAAAAAAATGAAAATCTCTATTATCGACGAAACTCCGCGTCGCCTTCCTCGTCGAAGAAGAAACTTTCGCCTCGAAAGTTTTTCCCTTCTCGAACGAAGAAACTTTAAAAAACGTGCACAAAATGCCGTATTCACACGCGACACACTCGCGAGCTACTCTCCCATCGATCCATTCATGAACACTCGCCGCTACTCCCTCGAAACCGTAGGCGTCGGCGTGAAAGAAAGAAAGAAAGAGAGAAAGAGAAAAAGAAAGTGAAAAGAACGAAAGAGAACGATTGTAAAAAAACTGGAAAGGCGAAAAGACTAAGACGCGATCTCGGTCCACGAGATACTGACTACGCACACCGTGCTCTCTGGAATCGGTCGGTCCAGGCTACGACCGACACTTTTCGACGTCAGTGGGCAGACTTACGCTAGCGAGCCGGGTTCTATACTTAGACGGAGACCTTCGATTTCCGCCGGTACGTTTTCGACCAAAGATCCACGCAAGAAACACACACCGGCACTTTTAGAATCCACGCACGCGTGCGTGCTCGTTCGTGGACACTGGCGCGTGTTGGAGAAACGGATTTCGAATTGAGCCATCTTTCGAACGAAATTTCGGTTTCGATTGTGAGACGAAGAGAGAGAGAGAGAAAGAGAGAGAGAGAGATTATACGTGCATTTTGCGAGCGAGAGGAGACAAAAGAGGACCTTGACGTAAATTTAAATCGCAAATCTTGGAAAGATCGATCTTAATAAGATGGAGAATCAATCTGTGACGAGGAATGTTGTATTATGGAAAAGGGTTGATCATCGGTATGGTTCATCATGGTTGTTATTAAATTCTCCCCTAGGCTCGTAGTCAACTGGCGCAGGCCAGAATTCCCTGCTCGGACGTCGTTCACTCTAAATTAGCCGCGACAATACCGGATTTGATTTCTAATTTCCAATTGTCCCGTTTTGTAGCCGGGGGATTGACGAGGGCCGTGTAACGAGCGCCATTTAATAAAGCCTTCTGTTTAACGTCAGCATTAATATGCATTTTGTCGTTTCGACGGAGATCGATGGAAATTCCTATTCAATTTCCTGTCACGGCCCCCCTCCGTATCGAAAATCAATAGGGGACGGTGAAAGTGGACCATCGGTTCCTGCCATTGTTATTTTTCCGCGTCTTTAATTATCGTTCCCGATTTAGAAGGTATTCGTACGTATTCGTTCTCTGTTCGTCGCCTCGTGATCTATCATTTATTTATTAATACGTCGACACGTTCGGATAAATTTAAACGGGCGAATTCGCGTCCCGAAGAGTCTCGAAAAATTCCATGTATTCGACGCTGCACGTATTTTTTTGCACTGAAATTCTGCGCGAAATATTTTGTTTTTCGAAAATTCAAGTTGATTGGATCGATCGGTTCTCTACGTAAATGTATATCTTCTTATAATAAATGTATTATTATTAATATAAATACGACGAGAAGATTTTCCCGTAAAATGAAAGACGCGAGCAGAACGAGGCAACGTGTTCTCGACGAGTCGATTACAAATTGCAAGTTAACCCGTTTATCGGAGTTAATGTTAAAAAAAACGTAAAATGGAGGGGATGCACGACGTCACGACGCGAATCGATATCAATTATATTCAATCTGGCTGCACGCCAAGCACCGAGGCCAATATTAAAGGCTAATCCAGATGATCGGATACAGTTGCGCGAGGAAAATTTCACAGAATTCCCCGATCGACTTCGTTTCGACATCCACGGAGATCAACACCGTTTTATCATCCAGCATTTTTTAGTCGACCATAACTTTTTTCTCTCCTTCCGTCCATCGATCTTCCTTTAGACCCCCATAGATTCCTCTTACTTTTCGACGTTACATTCGTTCCATTTAACCCCCACTCCCATTAACATCGTTAACCCAACACTTGCAACGGGGGAGAAGAGTAAATACGCGTTGTCTCCTCCTCCCTTCCCAAACAAGATAAATTAGAAGTGGAGCAAATGGTTAGGTATCCCTTAGGTGGGACGAAGACATTATTAGGCGACCGGTTACGAGGTTGTTGTGGAGCGCAAAAAAGTTGGCGGTCCAGAAATAGTGGCGTTAGTGGTTTGCCGATCGCGATTCAACGTTCCTATTAGCGTCTAGCATCGGAACGAAGATCCGATGCTAAAGTTAGCAGCCGCGTTTCGCTTCTCCAGCGCTGCGTATTCTCAGGGTGGAGCTCTTAGAATAGCCCCGCCAGCACTGCTCCGCTTTTCTTATCGACCCGAGCCTTTTCTCTCGTCGGCAACACAGCTTTCTACACGGCAATTTACCAGGTGGCTGTTTCGACCAGCCGGCAAAACTCGGTCGGAGGTCGTCGCGTTACGAAGGGGGTCGATAAGCGGGAAT